GCATGCATTAATATCTTGATTATATAGCTGAAATTGGTTTTGTAAAGGTAATTCTAGTAGGGTATATTTTAGATAATCACCCACTAGGTAAGAACACATTATGGTTTTTGTTGCACAGTAGGAAAAAGTTGTGTCACAACTGGATAGATACATTAACACCAGCAGTTCCTGCTGATGATCAGGGAGTGTGAAGAAGGCTGCCAGCTCTATATTCTCTGTATTTTTCTGAAAAAAAAAAGACTGAGGGAGCTAAGAGGGCACTTGGGAAAGCCCTGTGTAGAAGAGCTGTGTAAATAAAACCTTTCTTCAACTGATGGGCCTCAATGTTACCAAAACTATTCTGTTTTCTAGATAATTGTGTGACTCTACTTGTGGTTTGGGGCTGGCATTTTCATTTGTTTTTTGATTTGTTTGATTAGAAAGTATCTGATCAGCAGACATGGTTGAACTTTAGATAAGTCAATGACGATTACCATCTTTGTCTGTAAATTATTTTCTTTTTCTTATTATACCAAGGAGAGATCCTCATCTTTCCTGTTTGTTAGAACACATGAATGTTGCTTAGCAAGTTGACATTGCTTTACTCTGTAAAGGAAGGGGTTTGTAATGAAATAATTATTGAATTAAGCAGTGCTTCTCATATATCTTGGTATGTGTTTGATCTATTTTCAGTATTTTTTTTTGGTGTGGTGCTGATAATAAACTGGGAAATCAAAGAATTTGTGATCTCTTGGCATCACTTAAAAAGGGATATTTCTCTCTTCTAAACTGTAATAGTTTGTAAGTATGGAATTTGTATAATTTGTATTTTTTCTGTGTTGCCCTCTTGGTTCATTCAGTTGAGGTCCGTGTACACATGTGCACCATGCCTGAGCCTGCTCTGTGAGGGTAAGTTTGTTTGTTATCCCTTAAAAGAGGGACTTAGCCTTTTCTGTAACATCCCTTGGTGCTGATGGTGTATGATCTGAGAAATAGCGAGGTGCAACAACATGAAGAGAACTGCGTGCACACCTTGAACACAGGCAGACTTGGACCTCCGTGCCAAGCTTTGCATGCCTCAGCTGAGACATGGTCTCCCTTCCTAGCTCTGCATCCAGCAGAGGAGGGAGAAGGAATGGTTCAGGTGGGGCAGCGTAAGGGCTGGCACAGGGGAGTCTCATATTCTGCCTCCTTCTTTGAATGAGGGTATACCTGCTTTTTGGTAACTAGGAACATAATTTTGTGTGATGGGAGTATGAAACCTGGCCACTTTATGGTGACAAGTGCTATGTCCTGCTTTCAGTACCAAAAAGATGGTGAAGAGGAATGTCCCAAAAGGAAATCATTCTGTCAGGTTTTAATTTGGGAACGGGCTCTGTTATCTTTGTGATGGCCTTGTTAATGATATGGAGAAAAACAGTAAAGGGTGATTGCACCATCAGACATGCTGGGATATTCAGTAATGCAAACAGTGATGCCTGCTAGTTCCCAAGCTGATCTCTGACATTTTGCATTTCATCAATTATGCATATTTAAGGTGGCAGCCTCCAAAAAGTTGTAAGGGAGTCAGACGTGAAGCAAACCCTTTAGAGATTCTTCCTGAGTTACTTGAGAATGAAACAGATGTTGCAGACATCTCTTACTTATCTTTTTTTCTGGCCTTTTTTGTTGTTTTTTTTCCTTCTGTGTGTCTCTCCTGCTGACTTTGCAGGGGGTAAAAGCTTAAGGCTTGGCACTAGCAGGAAGCTGATGTGGCATGAAGAGAAAACATGGTGTGCTACTTGCTCTGTAAGATAAACACTGCTATCAGCTCCTGATCAACTCCAGCACTGTTCAGCCTCTGTTCTTCCAAATTTATGCATGGCAGGAGTCAGGCTTCCCTGTCATGCTGATGCTCGCAGTCAGTCCTCAGGAAGATGGGAGCCCTGCAGCTGGTCACAGCACCAACTGCTCCTGTCACTCCCTCCTGAGGAACAGGATGAATTGTGCCCATATCCCAGGGAATGGATTTGGTTTAAAAATCTGTGGGTTTATTTTACTCCCCCCACTAATGTGTTATTAATTTAATTGCTCGTTGGTTTCTGAAGACTTCTGAAAGGTGCAGGGAGGGAGGTGGCAAGATCTATTTTAAGCTGCTGGCTTCTTTAATTTATGCTCATGATGTTTTTTTTACCAGCAGCACTTTGTGATCCAACTGCTACTTCTAAATGTCATTTACTTGAATAAAAAATGTAACTAATTTCTAAGTGTGACATAAGCACTGAAAGTATTAACTGAATCACAGAGTGCTGTTCAAACAGCAGCTTTCGCATGATAGGAGGGAAAGTTCATGAAGTCCAAGGTATGCTGCAATACAAGTGTAGCAAAAATACTCAAAATCACTTGTTTGCAGGTTTTCCCATTATCCATTAGGCTTTCTACTAGGGAAATAACCAAATAATGCTCACCCATTTTTATTCAATAGGGGTATTTCGTGTTCTCTGACACTGAGTTGTGTTTCTGATGGAAACCAGTAATCCTGTGTTTCCCAGCACTCCTTGAAGAGCAGTTGCTCAAGCACCTGTTCACCACAGGCATTGAAAGAGATATTGTTGCGCTCCAGTACCCTGAGGTTTTTTCAGGATTATTACCATCAAAAACTTTTTCAAAAGATTGCTTGATTCAGTTTAAAAACTGATGTGGAGCTGTCATCTTTCTGCCTGTAAAAAGGGAAGAAATTTTGCATTCACGTGTATTTCTTGGTTCTCCATAATGCAAAGTTTGTCATTTTAACAGATGGATCAGCTCTTGATTTCTTTTTTAGAGCCAGTTTGTTCAAAATCAAATGTGGGAGTGGACCATACAGTCCTTTTACATAATGAAATTAAAGTCAGCTGCAACTTTCCTTTGATATTGTATATTTAAACTGGTGTTGATGTCAATCATCATTGGTTTGCAAACAGCAGTGTAAATCCAGAATACCTGCTGATCCATGGGCTGAACATCTGTGAGCCATCAGGTTCCATTCTAGTGGATAGAAGATTCAAAGTCCACTGAGTTTTTTCCAATGCTGATGCCTTTATCTTAAAGAAGAGAGAGAAAAAGTTGCTGTTGCTTGATTCTGCGGGGATTGTCATTTCTCTAGGTAGAAGTTTGTGTGCTTACTGAGAATGTGCCTACCAGTGTCCCTCAGGAGGAAGTGGGAGTGTGTTTATATGTGCGTGTGAGCTGTAAGTAGGAGTGTCTGGTTTTTCTGTGAAGTTTTCCATTCCCAGATCTTACAGCTGATGTTTCGTTGTGTGTTACTTGGCATCAGTAATAAACTGGTGTTTTCTGGAGCTTCAGAACTGGCATCCCAACCCCACCTCTGATTACTTAAAATTTATGAACGTCTTTTCATTTACAGCTCTTAACCTGCCTTTAGTTCACAGGAGAGTCAAGGTCTCAGTCTCACCACCAGATGACTTGCATACAAAATCTTGTAATAAAACTTCTTCAAACAATAGAATATTGGGAAAGGCCAAGTAACAGCAGTGCTCTGTATATATGCAGCACTGCTCATAAAAATGAGCGCATCACTGTTTGTCGTGTTGCTAAGGTTAGAATTGATATGTAACTCTTTGACTGGATTGTTGTCCACAGTGCATGGGCTTAACTTACTTGGAAAACTTAAGCCCCTCTTAAATGTCCTGTTAAAGACAGGAGGGCCAGAAGTTCAGCTGACATAAAACTATGTGGAATGAGTAATCCCCTCTGCAGACTCTCTGGAGAAGGATCTTTTCAACCTTCTCTGTGGATGCCTCTATAAAAAGTTGAGTTCTTTTAAGGTTTCATACTAAATCAATAAATAAGTTAATAACAGTGCAGCTGTTTATCATGAGCTCTGGGTATTTCCTATATTCAAATTTCTTCCAGAGGACAAATTTCTCACTTAGGGAGCAGATACTGCCTTTGTCAGCTGTTCAGTCTCCAGGCCCTCTCTCACTTGTAAGTATTCTTACCAACAATAGACAACCATAACCTTGTCTGTCATGCCAGGGGAGCGACAGAATCTTGTCCTTGTTTATGTCTGTGATGATCTCCTGGTCAGCTGTTCAGTCTCCAGGCCCTCTCTCACTTGTAAGTATTCTTACCAACAATAGACAACCATAACCTTCCCTAACCTTGTCTGCAATGCCAGGGGAGCGACAGAATCTTGTCCTTGTTTATGTCTGTAAAGTATGTACCCCCTCTGTGATGCTCTCCTAAGCATTCTACCAAATCCCTGATTTTCAGATCTTTCTCCTCCAGAGAAAGGAGGATCTTTCTCTGGAGTTTTAAGTTGACCCTAAACTTACCCAAATTGAGGCAGGAACATTCCTTTAATTCCCCAGGCAGTCATACGATGCTTAGTCAGCTAATATTGCCTTATATGGCCCATTTCTTGACTACAAGTTCTACAAACCTCTGGTCTTTAAAACCAAGGCAGTCATACGATGCTTAGTCAGCTAATATTGCCTTATATGGCCCATTTGTTGACTACAAGTAAGTTCTGCAAACCTCTGGTCTTTAAAACCGTGACTTAGAAACAAAATAATGACAGTACAGCAGTACAGGTCTCTAGATCAGCACATTCAGAAGTAAAAAAAAAGAAAAAAAAAATTTGGATGTTTTTTGTTATTAAGCAGTGTGTTTATGACAGTACAGCAGTCAGCAGTACAGGTCTCTAGATCAGCACATTCAGAAGTTAAAAAAAAAAAGTGTGTTTTTTTGTTATTAAGCAGTGTGTTTAATACCAGTCTTCCTGTGACTCCATTGTATATATATATGTAGCCTTCACTATGTGCAGGAAAGTGTGAAAATGTGAACTATGTGCACCCTAGAAACTTGAAAAACCTCAGTATTAAGTAAAATATATTAATCTTTTGCATGTCATGTTTTGTGTTTTATTTGAAGTGATATCATGTTTGGATGATCTTTCTTTCTGCAAGAAAACAAACAGAAACAAGCACTTCAAAACAGTGATAAGATTTTTCCTCTCTCTCTTTTGATCCCTATTTTAGGAAGGCATGAGGTGTGGTCCTGGAAAACAGCCAGCAAGGAATCCCTGTGTCTCATGTGGCAAAAAGTGAAAGTGCAGCTAATGTTAAGCATGTCCTTCCTCACCGCTCTTTTTTGGTATTGTAGAAGGCTGTACGGCTTTTTAGCACAGCTGCTGAAACGGTAGGTTTTATTATGCAGACTTCAATCTTCCACATGGTTGCTTATTCAGTAAATACTGACCTTCAACACCTCCTCGCTGACACCTGTTCTATCATTTGTGTTTCAGGTGGAGCAATTACCTTCAGAGGCAACTCATAAGTAAGCTTTTTGTTGTCACTCCACATTCATTAATGACCCTCACAACTTCCCTTTAGATGCAGGACAGCAGAACGTAACTAATCTGTGAATCAATCTCAATTTAGGGAATCTCAGTGTGCTGCCAGAAGTTGATCTACTTGGTTATAGTGCAAGAGAATGGAAAGGAGAAACAAAGCAGGCCAAACAGATGAGGGAGGTAAGAGTTAAATTGTAATCTCTGCATGAGGAGAGGGGAGAACCAGCACCTGGGAAAGGAGTAGCACTCGCAGCACAAACAGCTGCAGCAGCTATCAAAGCCTGCTGCACTGGCTAGTCAAATGAAAAGCAAAAGGGACAGTATGAACATGGGTCTAAATAAAGAGTACAGCAATGCAGGTCAAAATGTTGATCATGTTTTAGTCTTGTGTATATTCTAAATCCCCTCTTCCTGTTAAGGTTGCACCAGCAACCTTAACAGCAAAAATCATCCCCAGTGCTAAAGCCCAAATAAGGCTTTATATAAATGTATTCTCTTAGGCACTGCAAATCATCCCCAGTGCTAAAGCCCAAATAATGTGGTCTTAGGCACTGTCACTTGGCCAGCCTTTGATTTAAGGTAAAAACTCTTACTCCGGGGAGGAAGGAAGCACCACATCCATTTCTCTTCCAAGCTCTGAAGGTCCATGCTTGGCAGCCTTCCCCTCTCCAGCATCATCCCTGCAGCTGGTGGCAGGCAGGGCAGGAGCTGGCATCTAACCTGTGCCAGCTTGGGTGCTGCCCAGCAGGCAGGGAGCTGGGGTGCTGGATGGTGGCCATCCTATGCCTTTGGCACACTCCCTCTGCTCGAGCTCTGCACCCAGCCCAGGTGCTTCTGTGCCAGTGTCCTTCCCTGCACAGGGCACTGCTGGCAAGACAGGCAGTGCAAATGCATACCAAGAAGGACTTAAAGGGTGAAAAGAAGCTGGTAAGGATAAATAGTAGCATAAAGGGGCTGTAGAAAAAAAAAAGAAGATAGTTTTCATAAAGCTGGAATTGCGTTCAAGTGATGAACAGAGAAAAGATCCAGTTTTGCCACGTTAAATGCAGGAACACAGCAGTGCCAAGAGTTCACAGAACAAGACACAAGGCCAAAAGCTATTTGGAGGAGCAAGTAACAAAAGAGAGCAAAACTTCTAATAAATTTGCAAGTACATACTGGGCGAAAAACCCTTCAGAAAATCTATGAGCTTTCTGGATGACCAGACCTTAAAAGGAGACTCCTTTATATGGAGCAGGCAGTGGATATCTGGTTATATCAGGTAGAAATTGCCGTAGTAAAGCACATTTTAGGATGAGGTCTTGTGAGATCCAGTATGCTGTCCCCAGAAGGAACAATCCTATGTTTGTCTTGTCTCTCCCTTTCTCTCCTTGTCCTAGCTAAGCAGTCGCTCTCCCTCTTTTGTGCTGGCTCCTGTCCTCTTTTGGATGTGCTACACCTAGATGGTGAGCTGAAAAAGCACATAATCTAGAAAGAGGCTTCTCGGAGGTCCTCAAGCTTGCTGAAGCAGCAGGAAACTCCCTCAGCAGAAGGAGTTTAATAGGCTTACTATCTCAGCTGATACAGTAAGGGTAAGGGGACAGAGTGCAGCTGAGAAGTGGTGATGGGATGGGATGAGGGAGTAACCAAGATAAACAGAGGATGAGGAATTGAGACCATCCTGCTGCCCCCTTCAGGAAGGAAACTGGAAGTGATGGAGCAGCCTGTGGGATTGCAGAGTCCTCTCCCTAATTCTCTGCCAGTTTATTGCTCAGAATTGCCTCAACAAGGGCTCAGATGGCAGCCAGTGGTAATGCAGAGTGTGTAGCTGCACCAAGGGCCATCCGCTTCAGAGCTGCCAGATCTGCTCTGCCTCAGGTCAGTGTTGCACGATGGATTCAGGTCAATGTAAGGAGATGTTTTTTGCCAGAATGAGTTTTCTCCAGATACTCGTTCCTGCCCTTTTGCTGCTGCATCTCACATGTCAGCACAAATTGTAAAATGGTTGAGGTTAATGCTGTTATGGCACAGAAATCTGTGCTGGCCTGCACTAATTTGGCTGACCATGTGAATGTTTACAGTACCAACAGTGCAGAGACTTGAACGAGTTTCTGGGTTTGGAAGGAATGCAGAATCACTCTTAATGGACAGTGCCAGTCCAAGGCATTTACAAAAACACGCTGTTTAACATTTCTGTGTATATGAATCTTAAAAATATACTCTCTTGTTCCCCTAGCTCCCTCTTATGAGTAGTTTGGAATGGGACTTCAAACAACATGGGGTTTTTTCCCAAGGTTTAATATTTTTTATTGCTAATTTTTCTTGGTCTCTTTCTAGGCATATGAAGAATTGTTTAGGAGCTGTCATATCAAATACCTGAGACAAGTCAGGAGGGACAACTACAGTGTAGTAAGAGCAGTGCTTTTTCAGATATTCAGCCAAGGCATTCCTTTTGCTTCGTGGATGAAGGAAAGAGATATATTGAAGGTAAAATTCATTTCCTAAATAAACACATTTTAGCTATCCATGCACAGCAGAAGAAAGCTTTGTTCAGTATGAAAAGTGGTATGCTGGCTGTCGAAGTGGAGAATCATTATCAGAATTCAAAGAGAAGTTTTTCAAACCCATTGAACTACATTTAATTGAAAAACTGTTCCTACTCTAAATATACCAATGTAAACATCTAAAAAAATCTAAATGATGTAAAAAAAAAAGTAAAAGTGGATGGATGAATGTTAAACTACATTTAATTGAAAAACTGTTCCTACTCTAAATATACCAATGTAAACATGAGTCTAAATGATGTAAAAAAAAAGTAAAAGTGGATGGGTGAATGTTATTGCCATCCTGCTAGATGTCACTCCCTTAACACAACAGGTTATTTGCATCCTCCCCATCCACATCCATGCAAAGTTCAGTGGCTCAGTTGGGAGCTGCTGTGTTGCTGGAGCAGCAGGAATCCTGCCCTGAGCTCCAAGAGCTTTGGCAGGAGATTGTGGCAGGGAAGTGGGGTCTGTAGCTTTTGCGTGTAGAGATGGGTGTGCAGACTGAAAGGTGTCTGTATTCCTAAATACCTCACTGAATTTGGAAGTATCCAGCTTTTCCAGAGGGTGGGTTATAAATTTGGCTGAGAGCATATTTTCATCTTTTTTTGGCTGGCCTTGTTTTAAAAGTTTCTTAAGGACTTGGCAATTAAGTGGATCCTCCTTCATAGCATTTGAGTTGTGAGGTCCACTTACTTTGTTGTGCAAACAGCTGATAGAACCACATCATAAATTGTAGACAAGTTTATATAACCTTATACTCTGCTTCTTGTTATGGTTATGATTAGCTTGCCTTTTGTTTTTCTCCCAGCTCCCTGAAAAGCTTTTGTATTCTCAAGGTTGTAACTGGATTCAGCAATATAGCTTTGGGCCAGAAAGATACACGGGTCCCAATGCCTTTGGGAAGCTGCGCAAATGTATGGAGGCCTTAAAGACAAATGTGAGTATCTAGGAAATGGTTGGGAGGAATAAAAGCCTTGAGAAATGGCTTCAGACAGAGTTAAGGAACTTCTCCTGGTTGCATATTTTTGGGGCAGCCAGCCTCCCTTCCAGGTTCAGACTGCTGAGTTGCTGGGAAGGCCATCACCTCTTCTGCAAGGGAATCCAGGGTTTGGTGATCCACTAGGCCAAATACTCAGGAGTTCCCTGCAAGTTGGGGAGGCCACCGTCCCCACAGCTACTGCTTGCCATTAAGTGGCTCCTGAAGTATCTCATCATTTTGATTAAAAGTGCTTCTAGATTGCCTCTCCAGATGGAAAGGAGCAAACAAACAGTGCATTTTCTTCTAAAACAATTGTATTTTCTTTGCTTCTATCCCCATTAAATGTTTTAATTAGCTATAATTTCTCTCTGTAAGCTTGCACTTGATTGCAAAGACCTGCCAGCCTCACCGGCCCCTCTGCTCAGCATTGCCAGATTGCCATCATCCCCAACCCAGGATTATAATTCTTATTTAATATAATAATTATATTATAATATTCTTATTTAATATAATTCATATTTAAAACGTGGGGTGATTTAGTAGCCCCAAAGCCTTCTGAAAGAGAGATAAAGTGTTGGCCAGTCAAGACCTTGCACCTTTCTTGAGCTCCTCTGGGGTTTCTGTGCATCTGCAGTGATAGTAGTTGTTAATTAAAAAAAAAAAAAAAGCCAAAACCCCAAACAGACTAATTTAAGCTCTAGAAACAAAGCATTAGAAAGAAAAAGATGAGATTAAAATAGGTTATTTGGTCCCTTGCCTGCACCCTTGCTGTGTCAAAGTGACAGCTGCATCTTCTAGAGATGGACCTGGTAGTTGTTGTGTGCAGTTATCATTTTGTTCTGGTTGCTCTTTGCATTTTTTTTTTTTTTTTTTTTTTTAAATAAATATGGTCTTTGGCCAGTGAGATGGATTTTTGGCTGTTTTTACTAATGGTTCTTTGCTGCCTTTCCCAGCTCCATCATCACAGAATCATAGAATCATTTAGTTTGGAAAGACCATTAAGATCATCAAGTCCAGCCATTAACCCAGCACTAAACCATGCCCACAAGTGCTACATTTGCACTTGTAAATATCTCCAGGGACAGTGACTCAACCACTTCCCTGAACTGCCTGTTCCAATGCTTGACAACACTTTTGATGAAGAATTTTCTCCTAGTATCCAATCAAAATCTCCCCTGGCAAAACTTCAGGCATGACATTATAGTTGGGAGAACAGAGCAAGCCCCCACCTGGCGACACTATCCTTTTAGATAGTTGTAGAGTGTGATAAGATTTCCCCTTCAGCCTCGTTTTCTCCAGGCTAAACACCCCCAGCTCCCTCAGCTGCTCCTCATCAGACTTGTGCTCCAGACCCTTCACCAGCTCTGCTGCCCTTCTCTGGACACTCTTACAGCAACTCAATGTCCTTCTCATAGAGAGGGACAAAAAATGAACACAGGACTTGAGGTGTGCCCTCACCAGTGGCAAGTACAGGGGACAATCACTGCCCTGCTCCTGCTGGCCACACTATTGCTGGTACAGGCCAGAATGTCCTTGGCCTTCTGGGCCACCTGGGCACACTCTGGCTCATGTTCAGCTGCTGTTGACCAGCCCCCCCAGTTTTCCACTCTTTTCCACTGAGCCACTTCCCAGCCTGTAGCACTGCTAAGGCTGTTGTCACCCAGGTAGGGCCCGGCACTTGGCCTTGTTGTGCCTCAAACCATTGGCCTTGATCAGACTGGGGGCTGCTGCCTGCAGATGCTGTTGTGCCTGGGCTCTGTCGATTAATAGCTGCTTTACATTTAGACCAGGCTTCTGTTCCTGTTTTGCAATCTTTTGTGTTAAATGGAATTGTTAATAATTTTAATAATGTTGTTCTTCTGTGTGCTTTCCAGTGGGCTGAAATGAGTGCTACAAGAGATCATGAAGAAAGAGGAAGCATGTGTAATACACTGTTTTCTGATGAAAGCAAGGAATACAAACTATATGAGGCCATAAAATTCATCATGCTCTATGAAGTTGTTGAAGCCTATGAGCAGATAAAGAGCAGGAACAAACCCGTACACAACCTTTTTAGCCTTCTCTTTGCTCGTGACTCTTCATCTGACCCTCTGAGTTTCATGATGAATCATCTGAACTCCATAGGTGACTCTATTTGCTTAGACCAGGTAAGGATATAGATGAAAAATCACAAAACTTACTCTGTTTTTCTAGTGATTAGGTGATTATATTATACATCATCCATTTTTTTTTCTTTGAGATGTGGGGAAATGGACTGAGGATAGCCATTTATCTTCCAGGAAAAAAATAAACTGCAGTAAGAGTGGACCAAAAATAAATGCTACAGGTTATAAATAAGACATAGTTTAGAACAATAATAACTTTGATATGTAAAATAATTTTAGATTATGCTGTTTTGACCAGTTGTTTGCTTTTCCTATCTGTTCCACTATGCCAAATCCTGTAGCATCACTCTCTTTTCTTTCCACCTTTTGGTTCTCATGAGATCTAATGTCTATTAACAGTAGGTAATAAGAACTCTACTAATCACCTTTATATGTTAAGGTTTTTGTTTCCTGTTTTATAATTAGTGAGAAATTCAGTGCTGACATATAAACTCCACACTGCCACTCTGCAAATGGTTTCACATTCCCATGGCTAAAATTATTTTTTATAATCAATTTCAGTTATCAAGTCAATTGTTAAGTGATGCAGTCAGATTTAGGAGCAGTTTGATTATAACTGGACAAGTTCTGCTCTGTCTGGCTATGCCCAAGGATATGAACTTTTCCCAAACCTTTTTTTTTTTTGATTAAGCAATCCGTATCAATGCAAGGCGTATCAGTGAAGATGCCACTTCTCCAGTTTCATATACCTCAAGTACCAAGAAAAATTTTCCTTTCACTGTAATGTTTTCCATAGGTAGCAAGTGATCACAAGGTGGCAGGCTTCCCATTTTTTCAGTGTGTTTCATTCTTGGTAACAGCTATTCCTTTCTTGTTCCCCAGTCAGCTGTGTGAGCTGGCTTGGGAGCAGGTTATGTATGGTGTCAGGCAGAGGATGAATGTTTCTACATGCAAAAGAGAAGTGGAAGAGATGTTGGGAATGCCCTCAAACTTTTAATGTTCTTACTCCACTAGCAAAAGGGCCCCTTTTATTCCTTATCTACTGTTTTGAAGCTAAATGACTTGCCTTAGCTTGGATTATCTTCAGTTTAGTTTTCGAAGCCTAGAAATAAATGTCTTACAGATTTCTTTCATTTTTAGGTTGACCTGCTTCTTCTTGGATACTTACTTGAAGTAAAGATACGAGTTTACAGACTGCATAGGTTTAATACTGAGGAATTTCAAGTAAATTATCCGGATGAATACCGAAGGGAATGGAATGAGATTTCTCTCCTGACTGAGGATGACCACTACTATCACATCCCCCTTTTCAGAACGTGAAGGACCAGTGACTTTTTTCTTTCCTTTGTATAGTGTAGTGAATGACCAGTTCCAGTGAATTAGGTTTCTAATCAGCAGCAGTAAAATCTTAAGAATGCTCATTAATGATTACAAAATGGTTTATGGGTTTGTTGTGTAAACATTTTGCTTTCCTGTTGCAGCTCAGTTCACCGTCAGCCATAAAAACCATAAAATATATTGCTATACTCTCTGGGTCAAAAAAATGTGAAGTTTGAGAGTTGTCAGACAAAAAAAATTGGACTGCCTGACAGCAAAGGCAAAGGTTATGCTGAGTTTTCTGTTGCTAGCCTAAGGGTTTACTCTGACATCCGTGGATGGGTTAAACTCAAGTGCCTAAAGCAATGACTGCCTTTCCCTACTCCTGTCTGTCTCTAGCTGGGAAGGATGACTCACAGAGGAAGGAAATCCCAGGGTCCCACAGTTTATGTTCCATGCTATTTAACTTGCATTGACTTGGGATGAGAGGATATAAACTGGGGCCTCTGCATGGCTGCTTGAAATCCACTTGGCTTCCCTTGTTGCTGGAGTACCTCTCTCCAGGGATGGGCAGGGCAAGCAGCAGCAGGTTGCACTTAACTTCAGACATGGGAAATGGAGCTGTCTGCACCCAGTGGTGCTCCCTGAAGGTGAAGAGCTGTGGCACAGGGGGAGAAAATCAGCACAAAAGAATACTGTGCCAGATGAATGGAAGATCTCCTGTGTGGGTAAAGCACATCGCTTTCTCCAAGGTAAAAAGGGCAGCGTTAATAGATAACACCCAACAGAGTCACAGCCAGTGGCTGCATATGGTTTTTGTCAACTTGTAAATCCTTTAAGGGCTAATTTCAACATTACCTGCCAAGATTTCCTTTGCAGTTCATCTGAGAAAGCTGTGCATGGAATACAGGCCAAAATACTGCATTTTCAAAAAATATTTTTTATGCATTATGTGAATTCAGCAGTGTTGCATATATGTTTTATCCTCTGATTATGTATTAATCTTATTGCCTAAGATTGCTATCTTTAATTTAGATCCATGTGTTTGAAGGAGTCTGTCCAGGACAAGTAAATGAGATTTATCTTCTTACATGGAACATTTTGCTCAGTTCTATTTTCTAAAAGAATCAATATGTGTTTTGATTACTTCAAAATAAGGGACTTTAACTTGAAGTATTAAGTCTTGCAAAATATTTGTGGAAAGCTTACAATGCCACAGGCTAATTGTTGTATTGAAGAGGATGTGATTTATTAAGGAACAAAGCCGCTTCTTTCCTTATCCCAGAGGTATGGGGACAAGGTATGTTTTATTAAACCTGCAGGATAAAATGCAAGCCAGTAGCAAAAATGGGAGCAGGGCCTGCAGGAGCTAAAGCAGTTGCATGAGGTATCTTCATGGTAATGCTTGGAGTCAGTGGAGCGTGCTCAGTTCCTTTGTGTAAAGAAAAGCTATTTTATCCCTTATGCTCCTTTTATTTGTGTGTATATATATATAAATATATATATATTTATAAATACAAACACCTGAGTTCTGTATTGTAGCTGTTTGGTTTCCTGAAAGTTCGAGTTCAGTTTTGGTGAATGATTTGTAGATTTTAAGAAGGCTTGATAGCTGTAATAATATCATCTCATCAAAAGCTGCATAGCAAGTACATTTATTTATTAAAAGAAAGTTTTTTCATGGAATGAAATAATTTTCTTATTTTAGATTTGGTTCTGCTCTGCATGAGGAAAAGTTATAATACCTAAGTGTATTTTGCATCAACAGTAACATTTACAGTTATCAATAAACTTGTCTATATTTTATTCTTGTTTTGGTACAAACAGACATACCATAAATAAGTATGTATTTTGTAGTGGGCTTTTTAATGATTTGTGTATTATTTGTGTTTAGGAATATAAAAGCGTTCCAGCTGAAAGTGATAAATTGTGAAAATGTAAATTTTTGTGATCTTGAGCATATTAATAGCAGGGAAAAATCTAAAACAGACAGTGGAATTTACCTCACCAGTTTAGATGTTTGCATCTGAACCAGGTCACCTGTGCCAGGGCTCTCTGCCTTGTCAGTGCAAGGCAGTGGCACAGGGACAGCCAGAGGGGTGGGTCTCTAGAAGGGACTGGTTCTCTTCACTGACTGTAGTGGGAGCTGGCAGTGATCAGTATAAATCTCTCTGCCCTAGGTATTTGAAGTTAGGTGAGATTAATGTTGTCCCAAGAATCTGGAAAGGACATACAGAAACAGATCTGCTGGCTTATCAGGTGTCAGAGGTGCCAGCCAAATCATGCCAGGAACAGAAATGGGAGGTGAGAATAGAGGAGCTTCACGTGAGGATAATCACAACTCTTAGAGATAACTGCAGAGTGGCTGATAAGAAACACTGAGACTTGGGGCTGCACTGAGTTTTAACCAGATTCTCTGATAATATATTTTAGATATGTATAAAGCAAAGTTAAATATCTGTTTACATATAATAAATTCATGAGTGTGTGTGTATATATATATATATGCATGTGGGGATGTGTGTATATAAGAAAAATTCATAAAAAAGAAAGTCATCCTCAATAAAGTGCATCTGAAACAAGCTGGTACCTGTGTAAGTGATAGGTGCAGCAGGATATTTTCCAGTCAGTGGCAGAGACAAATTTTTTGTTCAAATCCAGAAGCACACAGTCATTACGAATATTTTTAAAAGTAGTATTGTAAGCAGCTAAAGTCAGGATGTGTTTCTTACTTACTATTTTTAGTTTAGCAAGAAGAAGAAACCATACAGAAGCCTCAGTGTTGGATTTGGATTTTCCCCCAAACTTGAAAATGTGTGTTAAGAGTTTAACAGAGCAGCTGAAGAAAAGTGTATCTTTTATTGTAAATGGGTAAAAAGTCTTGTGGTTTGAATGCCATCTTTTAAAAAAAACTGCATCTCAAAAATGTGTGAACTACATCCAATATTTTATTTGAACTCCAAAAGATACACTATCAGTCCTCATTCTTCAGCTCTAACACTGAAATTGCTTCTTGTCTAGTTTGTGGCTAGTAAGTTGAAGCTAATTAAAAATTGCTCAGTGTGTTTTTTTTGCTGCTAACTTCACCTGCTTAGGCTCAGGGTGTTGAGTTCAATGTCTAGGAAATAGTTTTCAAATGCAGTTTTAAACTTGTGTAAAGCATAGATTTAAGGCATATGTATGATTTCAAAACAGTTCAGTTGACCAGAATAATTTGTTCAGTCAACACATAGAAAAGACCTTTTTTTTTCTCCCTAGGATTTGGATTGCACAGTTTCTTTGCATTTCATCAATATTACAATAGTCCCACATCTGCCCCTTTTATGTTAGTGCCGTTACAGTAAAAATGTTTTTGGAGGCTTCATTTTTATGAAAAGCTCCTGATTTTGAAAAAAACTTAAAGCTGGAATTTTGGTACCACAGAAGACCTGGTTTCTCCCTCTTCATTTGTGAGGGTTTCAGGGTGCTTGAAGGCTTCCCTGGCAGGATAGGAACTTTCATTTTGGGCCTGGTTTTGTCAGAGGGCGGGATATAACTCTGTGATGGTCCCTTGAAATTATTTTGTAGAGAAGAGTGGCATGGGCTGGGCTGGAGAGGTACTGCTGCCTCACTAAGTGACATTTGTATTCACAGCATCCCATGTAGTGTTAGTCCAACCCTGATTTTGGCCAGGGATGGAGCAGGAAGCCTTGCAGAGGCTTTTTGAAAGGTACTTCAGAAAATATCCAAGGAGACCCACATGCCTCAGAGTGTACCTGGGAAGGACAGGAAATAAATGCAGAAAACTTCTCTCCCTGGGGCTTCGCTGATTTGCATCTCTCTTGAACCACAGAGCTTTGGGCCAGCTCTGTGTCAGCCATGGCCAGTGAGTGAGGAGGACTGCTGGAACATTGCTAGAAGCTGTGTGTGCTGAACAGTGCTGCTGGGAGGGAAAAATGAAAAGCATGAAAGAAATCGAATGGGTCCCAGATGCTTTCATCTTCTGACATAACCCAGTTTTGCATAATTCTGAGGTTAAATGCCTTGGGAGGCCAATTAACCAAAACATCTTCCTCTCTTAGTAAAGTGTTTGGCCATAATTAAGGCTTTATTGAAATGGGGGGCAACTAAGTTAACTAAACTTGTGCAACCCAAGCTATTCTGTGATTCTGTGATCTTAAAAATATTGAAAATTGCCATCTTTAGAATTTCAGATAACAAACACAGCATTTAGTTAAGAAGGAATTTTTTACCCATCATTTAGATGGCTTCAGAAAACGCCGTTCAATAAGCTCTGTTCTCCTGGCAATTTTTTGATTGTCACTCTTGCCTGCAGTGGTGGATTCCACCCAGCCAACAGCCAAGTACCAAGTACCCACACAGGTACTCACTCCCACAGCAGCAGGATGGGGGCAAAACCAGGAAGAAGAGGACCAAGAAAAGTTTAGGCTATGATAAAGATAGGGAAATCACTTCTTATGCACTGTCATGGGCAAAACAGACTTGAGAGACGAATTTAACTTATTGGCAATTAGCATTAGTATTTAATTACAGATTTAGATATTGGGAAACTTTAAAAAAAACCCACCAAACATTAGAATGCTTAGGGAAAAAAAACACCCCTCCCCTTTTCCAGGATCAACTTCACTCCAGACTCCTCTCCCTTGTTATCACCACAGGTGATGCTCAGTGCCAGCAGTGAGAATCCTTCACTGGCTGCAGTCTTCCCCTTCTAGGGTGAACCAGCTCTGATGCTGGCTTGGGATAATTAAGTTCTAAAACACTTGGTATGTTACATGTTAATTACCAGTTTTATAAACACCTGTTCAGCTCCACATATCTTCAATCCATGCTACTGGAAGAAGTAAAATCTATGTTTTTGTTGTCTTCCTCTTTGGTGCTTTAATGTGCTATCACAGATATCTGTATTTCTACAGGACATGGATTAGAACAGAGCAAAAGGGTCTGAAGGAAGCGCCTCCGAAGGTAAGGGATTAAAATCAATCCTGGAGTGATTCTGGACTTCACACAGGAGTTACATGGGAGCTCAAGCAATGACCTAAGGGCAACAGAAGTTATGGAAAAGACATGGCTAGGAGAAGTAAATGGCAAATTCATGGAGGAAGACTTAGCAAGTCCATAGATACTTTTTAGTCTGAACTGCCAGTCTGTGACTGGAGATGTGAAAATTTCCCAGGGTAATAGACACAGAAAGTGTACTTGGAGCTCTTCTTCCCTGCAGCCTGTAACATGACACATGAATAGGTCATGACTACTGTCATTGAAGCTGATCTCAGCTGCTCCTTCAAAACAGAGGACTTCACCACTGTGAGGGTTCTCCAGAAGAGGAGAGGTGTTTCTTGCCTTTCCTGTATTGATGGCTTCCCCTTGTTCGTTAGTTGGGTCCCCACATTTGGCATTTTCAGTGCTTCTGTTGCTGCTGTAGCGGAGATTGTACAGCCAAGAAACACTTCAGCCACCTTCTGCTGATGTTCTGAACAAGACACGAGTGAAGCCACATGCTTTTGTTTCACAGGCTGTGAAAAACCCATCACGATCAAATTTGACCAGATCTCTGTTTCAGGGTCCCCAGAGGTCTATTCAGGGAAATATTTCACCCCCTCATTAGCCTTTGCAGGTTTGCTTTGAGCATGGGAGCTTGAGAGGCCTCAAAGACAGACATCCAAACCTCAACACATTTTCTAAGTAAGGAGAAAAGTGAGAGCAAACTTACAGGCTGAGCAAACCCAACAAGGTGAATTTCTTCACATCACAACACATGGTGTGAGCACAACTCAGGAAAGCTGCAGGTCGAGATATCTGAAACTGAGATGTTCCTTCACGCTTCTGCCAAATTCATGGGAACATGAGCAAAACTGTCCAGTAGCCACTGTGTGCTCTACCCAGTTTGGTAGCACAAGGCATCCATGAGTGTTGGACAAAAGATGTGATCAGATCACATTTGGTTTAGTTTTTTCAAGAACTCATGCAAACTACACAAGATTTTAGTTTTGTTCTGGGCAGCTCCAGAGGTCCTGCCTTTCTACATAGAACTGCTCTTTGAATTTTTGAAAAACAGGAAGAAAAAAAGAGGTGTAATAGTTCAAACTGTAGAAATGTTATTAGAGGCACAGCTTTAAAAGGGATGAAAGACATTTTTTCAGACTGTAAGGGTGGCTTAATAAATGCAATTCTCAGCAGTGTTAGTCAGGAAAGATAGTTGTAACATGCGATCCAGCAAGCATAACTCATCTAGAGCTCCAGAGTATACTGCACAGAATAAGAATGATACATTTAGGATCAAATTAGGGCTGTTTGAGTTACAGCTGCTAGGAGCCCAGCACTTTGGAAATGCAAGAAGAGGGGAAGGAATTAAGATATATGATTTAAATAAAAAGAAAAGATAACACCATTTGTGTGGAAAGCCACCAGCCTATTTTTCTTATTGTCCTTTTCAGAGCAAGACATAAACCTGGAAAAATTCCAGTACAATTAAGTCCATAAAATACTGGTTTTGATGAAGAGTTTATTACATAAATTAATATCAGTATGTTGACTGTACCTTGTGAGTCACAAATGTGACCTATTTATAGAAAAATGCATGGATATTAGCAGAGTGGTTTCATGACAGCTATATTTTTGAAGCCGTTAAAAAAAAGAATTATAGTTGTAGATAATTTTAGTGCCCTAGATGCATGTAATTTAGTAACAAAGCAAATGTTTCCTCTGAAATGCTGCCAGCAATTAGAAATTCCCAGTTTCTTGCCAAGCATTAAAACCTGCAGCTTTGGAGTGGATTCCCTTCTCCTCCTGCACTTCTAATTTCAGTCAAGACTACAGAGTTGACCCTTTAAATTTTTTTTTTCTTTAACAGTTTTTGGGGAAACGGAGGGGAAAAAAATTAGTATTTATATCTATATTTTTAAAAGCATATGCCTTTTTTCAGCTGTCTGGCTACTTCTACCTGTCAGTGAATCCTGATACACCTTTTTCTGTTTGACTAAAAGGCCA